AGGGGGGAAGGATAGCATTAGAGATATACCTAATGTAAATGATGAGTTACGGGTGCAGCACACCAACATGACACATGTATACATATGTAACAAACCTGCATGTTGTGCACATGTACCCTAGAACTTAAAGTATAATAAAAAATAATAATAAAAACAAATCAATAATAAAAAGAAAGAAATTATAAAAATAAAAAAAATTTAAAAAATCAGTAAATTGCTTTAGGCAGTATGGCCATTTTAACAATATTGATTCTTCCTATTCATGAGCATGGAGTATTTTTCCATTAGTCTGTGTCAACTTCAATTTCTTTCAGCAGTGTTTTGTAATTCTTATTGTAGAGATCTTTCACTTCCTTGATTAGTTGTATTCCTAGGTATTTTATAATTTCATCGTTATTGTGAATGGGATTTTGTTTTTGATTTGGCTCTCTTTGTGAATGCTGTTGACGTATAGAAATACTACTGATTTTTGTACACTGATTTTGTATCTTGAAACTTTGCTGAGGTTATTTATCTGATCTAGGAGCTTCTGGGCACAGACTATAAGGTTTTGTTGTCATAAAACCATATCATCTACTAAGACTTCCTCTCTTCCTATTTGGATGCCTTTTTGTATCTTTTTGTTGCCTGATTGCTCTGACTAGGAATTCCAGTACCATGTGGAGTACGAGTGGTGGGAGTGTGGATCTTTGTCTTGTTCCACTTCTCATGGGGAATGCTTCCAGCTTTTGGTCATTCAATATGATGTTGGCTGTGCGTTTTTCATAGATGGCTCATATTATTTTGAGGTATGTTCTTTCCATGCCTAGTTGTTTGAAGGCATTTTCCAGTGTGGACATATTCATGACAAATAAGCACATGAAAAATTATTCTACATCACAGCTATTAGAGAAATGCATATTAAACCATAATGAGATATGGTAACATATATTTGAAAAAGATATTTAAAAGACATGGCTGGGCACTGTGACTCAAAGCCTGTAATTCCAGGACTTTGGGAGACTGAGGCAGGTGGATCACTTGAGGCCAGTAGATCGAGACCAGCCTGGCCAACATGGTGAAACTCTATCTCTACTAAAAATACAAAAAAAAAAAAAAAAAAAATTAGCCAGGCGTGATGGTGCACGCCTGTAATTTCAACTACTCGGGTGGCTGAGGCAGGAGACTGGCTTGAACCCAGGAGGCAGAGGCTGTAGTGAGCTGAGATCACACCACTGCACTCCAGCCTGGGCAAGAGAGTGAGACTCTGTCTCAAAAAAAAAAAAAAAAAACCACAACGACAACAACAAAGAACCATTACTAAGTGCTACCAAAGATGAAGAACAATTTTAAATCTGATATGTTGCTAGTGGGAATTATGAAAATGGTACAACCATTGTGGAAAATGATTTGATGGTGGTGGTTCCCTAAATCTACACATGGGCTAAGGCCACAGAACAGGACACATAAAGAAAACAAAATTACTGTTAATTTAAATAATGAAATTAAAAATTAAAAAAAGCAAGTTGGAGTGATTACATTGAGTAAACTTTTTAAAACTTTATAGGAAGGAAAATTACCATGGATAAATAGGGACATTATGCAATGATAAAAGAGTTAATTAAGAAACAAGACATAATCCCGTTAATTCACCTAAAAGCATTATTTCAAAATATGCAAAACAACATCTGATAGAACTGAAAGGATAAATAGTCAAATCTACACTTGCATTTGGAGACTGCAAAACTCCTCTCTGAGTAAATGGCTGAAGTAGACAGAAACTCTGCAAGGTTATAGAAGAAACTGACAACACAAGGAACTAACTTGATCTGATTGGCCTTTACTGGACACTCCACAGAATAAGAACAGAATGTATAATATTTTCAAGTGTATGTGGAATTTTTACCAAGATAGACCATTAAACAACCCATAAAAAATTTAAAACAACCAAAATTGTACAAAGTGTAGTTTAAAAATCTATAAAGGAATAAAGTACAAATATAACAAAGGACATACCTATAAAGTCCCCAAGTATTTTTAAATAAACAACACATTGTTACTACTTTATGTTTAAAAAAATTCTTGAGGAAAACTAAAAAATATTTTCTGATAAATAAAAATGGAAATACGATGTTTTAAAATTTGTGGAATTCAGCTAAGGTAGTGCCTATGGAAACATTTATGTCCTTAAATGCTTACATTAGAAAGTAACGAAGGGCTCAAATAAAACATCTAAAATTTGCTCTTAAATAACCAGTAGAGGAAAAGTACATTAAAACTAAGGCAAAGAAAGAGATGGGGTGGTATAGATAGGAAGAGAAAAATTAATGAAATTAAAATTTCAGAAATTTCAGAGAAACAATAAATGAACTTTACAAAACCAATAGTTAGCTTTTTTGATAGATCAGACAAGTCCTAATGTCTGATGTCAATCTGAGAAATTAAAAAAAATATTGTTGTTGAGAAGCATTGGCTTTGAACACAGCTAGAAATAAAGGCAACTATACACAAACTATAATTTGTCATGATAACTACACCCTTAATTTCTTGGAGAAGGTTCTGAGATCAGATTTTCTTTGAATTTCTCTTAATTTGTAAGGGACTGCTATGTGTCAGATGCTTCCAAATACATTAACCCATCTAATTTGAAGATAATCCTGTAAGGTCAGCTGGGTGAGTTCACCTTCTTCACTCCATAGCATTTTCTGCACTTCCTTTTGCAACACCATCTGTCTTCTCAGTAGGCTGAGGATTTCCTCTTTCCATCTGATGCAGGGGCAGAATCCTACCCACCTTCTCTGCTACCCTCCACATGATTGCTGTTGTCTGAACACCTGTATAGGTGCCACTAGTCACACTGAAAGCCAGTATGTTCCTGGGGGCAGATGCCAAACAGGAGGCAGTGGAAGGCTGGTTCTTTTCAAATTCCAGCTGGCATGTCCACCAAGGAACAGTTTCTCACATCCTAGGAGAAGCCCAGGATTTGTAAGAATTCAGTTTCAGGAGATGGCTGCTCTTCTTCTACCTTTTATGAAGGAATGGGATTCCTGAGCACCATCCATTTGCCTGTTCAGTCCCCAGCTTTGAATAAGAAGCTCATTACAATCCTTCTGCAAATATGCTAGTGACTTAGACAAACTACTCTCTACCTTCCGTGCTGTATCCCAAGAATCAAGAGATTATGTGCAATGCAGACTCCACTCACACCCCACTGAGAGAACAAAGAGTATTTAGAGGACTCCCAGGGAGAGAGGACCAGGTGTCTAAAGTCACAGTCCAGAGTGGCTGTGGCTGTGGGACAGGACTGAGGTTGAGTGGTGGAAAAGTCAGGGAACTTTTGCAGGGGATAGGAATGTTCCATGTCCTGGGGAAGGCAGGTGATTCTGTGCAGCCTCAAGATGTAGCAGGGAAGAGCAAGCAGCAGGCTAGGTTCCCAGAGATGGAACAGAGGGTACATGAGGGGGACCAGATGAAGGGTGTTGTAATTCAGGAAAGTGCTGGAGCCAGACAGAAATGCTGGCTTGGAGTGTACTTGTCCTATATGCTGAAGGAGAGAATCCAATATGTGGATGAGCACTTGTAGGCTCTCCCATAACATGTTTGATAATAGGTACTCAACAGAAAGCACCCAACAGTCAGCTCCCAGGGGAACCACCATGCCCCTAATGCTGTTTGATTCTCATTGTCACCTTCTTTTGGCCTGCTTTTAGTACCTTGGCCTCAGGCTCCTTCTTTTTGTCACCTGAGAGACATGATGCAGTGCTGAGAAATAAACTACTTGCTACTCAGGAGGTGGGCATCAGGCTGTCAGGAATGGGAAGAGCATGGGCTCCACAGGAATCACACTAGAGATCTGGTTCCAGCCCTATTACTAGCCATGTGATCCTGGGAAATGCCCAAGCCCTGTGAGCCTTGGGTTCTTCATCTGTGAAGCAGGTGTGATGATCCCTGTTCAATAGCACTGTTGGAGTGTATGCAATGTAAATGATGCACCTGGCTCAGGGCCTTGTGTAATTTAGAAGTTTAAAGAACGGCAGATGACTATATTTCTACTATTTGACCCCCGATCCTAGCACTCTCGGATTTTGTTCTTGTTGATTTCTCCAGGACTTATCAGAAAATATGCAGCTTATTAGGATCTGGAAGAATTACTTAGCCAAAAAAGGAAGTTTTGTCAATGAATTTCAGTAAGCTTACCCACTCAGAGGGTATACTTCAAAAATTCAATGTGCAGGAGTCTTCCTCAACTGGAATGCAACTCAGAGCTCCTAGAATATGAGTCAAGAATAAAGTCCTTCCCTCTTTCTCAGCTTCTTTTCCATCTAAACCACCATTTTCACTCATTATATCACCACCCCAAATCTTTCCCTTGTTAAAACTGGCCAAATTGCGCTTCAGATAAGCTAATCAGAATGTCTTTTTAATACAGTCAGCTCTGGCTCTCACAACCAGGAAAACAAGCACATGTCCAGTGGCATCTGGGCCTCACATCTCAGCAGATTCATGCTTATCTCTCAGGAAACCCATGTGTATGATGGGTATCCATCACCAACTTTGTGTGCTGTGTTCAACCGCACTGAGACAAGAGTGCAGGACACCTCCCATTCCTGCCCCAGGAGGAGATGCCTCTCTGTTTCATCCACCATCCAAAAGGAACTGCTGAGCAGGTTTCCCTTCCAAGCTTTTCTCTTGTCCTCTGAGAATCTGGCTCTGGCCCCACCCCGCTTCATTAGAATCAGCTCACCCAAAAGGTACTGCAGTTTCCCAAAGCCCAAAAGGCCTTGGCTCAGGGCATGTACACTCCACCACTCTCACCTGTTGCTCCACATGCTCATCCCTCTTATTTTCCCTTTAGATCTTAAAGGATACCTGGCCACCTTAGTTATGTGACTGCAGATACTAGACTCTACTACCCTAAGGTCAGGGGTGGGCCTGGCTTACCTTAGCATCTCCAGTACTAACCCAGCGCCTTCCAAATAGCAGAAGCTCAATGAATGTTTTGGGAAAAAATGAGCCAGTGAGCAGGGGGACTTATTTATTCATATTTAATTCAGTTTCATTCTCAAAGAAGCCAAGCAAATCCAGATACATAGGGTACACCAAGAGGTACAAAGAAGGCAAGAATTAACTATTGTTTAATTTCTTTATGTCTTTATCTCATGTATTTTACTGCTATGTTGTTTCACATTTCTAAAAAACCTTAATCCTCTGCTCTTATAGTGTCTGAATTCAAGAAACAACATGGGTTTCCCAATATAAATGAAAAGCAAGACGCTTACTCCTAAACTATATAAAAAGCAGTAAGTCTGTCTACTGTCATACATAAAATGAATGTTGAAGTTCATTATACCATCCATTAAAAAGGAACATTGGAACAATTCCAAAAGGAAACAAAGATAAACCTCCAAATCACCCAATAGAACAGGAACTGAGAGACGGTCCACACTGTGTTCCCTCACACCCAACATGCTCCCCACTACTGAGAACGGTGACTGCTCTCTTCAGAGTGAAGAATGGGTCTCATGTAACAGGACAGGAAAGGGGTTGTTTGTGGCCCTGGAAAGTGCACTGGCCCAGGCCCTCCAGCAACCTGCGCCACTGACCCTAGCTGCAACTCCTGCTCAGACTCCTTCTTTCTCCTCTCCTAAAGCCTCTTCATGCAGGGATGGGTAGGAAATGCGAACTCTTGCATTAACCCTGGCCACATGCTCCAGGACTTTCACATAGCTGGTTTCAGCGAGGGCCCTTGGACCCCACAGGAACTCGTAGCGCACAGGATCACTGCCGGGCACCTGGCGGTACTCCAGGTAGTTCTCTTGCACCCAATCTTGGGTGAGCAGCTTCCTGAGCTTCCAATAGACACTATGCTCCCTCCCATCATACAGCCCCATCACACTCAACGCTTCCCAGATTGCCTCCTCAGGAGCACAGCTGCCCTTCATTAAGATCATGCCCAGAACGATTATCAGGAGGCCGGTCTTGGGCGTGCTCTGATCATCACCCAGCAGGCCGTCATAGGAGAGGCCCAGGCAGGTGACAAGGACGTAGCAGTGGCCGGCGGGGTCCACTTCCTTCACGTCAATGCCAAAGATCACCTGCATGCACTCAGAGGCTTTGCTGAAGATCTCAGGAAAGTGGTTCTTGTAATTTTTGATGACACTCTCCAGCATTTCTGCCTTTGTGACCGGCTCCTTAATTTGATATTTGCGGAGCAGGAAATGAACTAACTCAGCCACTTTCTCATCAAGTGCTTCCCGGAAAAGGGACTCCAGGTGAGCTGGGTCTGGGGAGGTGCTTGGCCCCTCCTCTTCATTGCTGCTGGAAACCTCATTGGATTGGCTCCATAGAGTGTCGTCGGTGACGGTCAGGGAAGAGGAGGCACCCCGAGGACTCTGGGCAGGACTCAGTGACCCAGAATCAGGCACCTCCTCCAGGGTTCCCGCGATCAGAGTAGAGGAGGAGGATGCAGCCTTCTGCTCCTCAGTGTGGAATCTGCACTCCATAAGCCCCGGTGCATCTCCTTGGGCCTGACGGCCTTCCTCAGCCTTGCAGGACTGACGCTTCTGCCGAAGAAGCATGATGACTCAGGTCAGGGCAGCAGGCGAGTGTGGGCCGGAGCTGGGCAATTGAGACCCACAGGCCTGGGGAGAGAGGAAGCGTGTGAGAGGCCTCAGCTGGGTACCACACCCTGGATGCCCTAACAAAGGCCTACTTACAGGTCTCCTTCAGTGCTCCTCTGGGGCCTCCCGACCTCCCGGCTGGCCTGTTCCCTGCGAACCTGAAAGAGGAATTGAGAGGGCATCTCAGGGTGCAGCCTCTGGGCAAAGGCTATGGCTCCAGGACTGACAGAAGGGCTGGGAGAGCCAGGAACTGTGGGGTTCCTGTTGTTTTGATGCTAGAGGGGCCTCTAGTATACATACAGGGGAAACACCACCTCAGCTTGACTGCTGGTACTGCCTGGACCTCTTATGCTCTGTGACTAAAGATACTGCCTCAGACCAAGGCCTCACAGCCTGGTTCTGGAGCTCCTAGAAGATAAATCGAGGGGGAACTCAGGCTGCAGACTACAAGCACAGCCCCAGCACCCCAGTGCTGTCAGGAGGTTGAGCCTGACTCTATGAGCTCGCCACTATTTTGCGTGGATGGTCCTTTCTGTGCTCACTCAGGGCCCTCACCTTTCTCCCGGCAGGGCCCGGATCTGGCCCTTTTGCTGGCCTGAGCAACTTTCAGATCAAGGGTTCACATCCCTGATATGGAAGAGAAGGACGTAAAGGGACCCACATCTGGCCCCATGTGCCCAAGGCCTCCTGGGGAAAAAGCAATAGCTACAGAAAGTATATTGGGGTCCATGTGTCCTGTCCTAGGGTGAGAAAACAGCAATAGCTACACAAAATACATTGGGGCCCATGTGTCCAAACGTGAGGATCCTGGTTGGTCCTCATCTTGATGCCTCCAGGTTCTGAAACTCTCCCTGGGCTGACTTGAGGCCACTTCCTCAATCCAAGGACCTATCTCCAGGAGACACTAGAAGAGCAAGTGAGGGGATTCCATCCACCCACCTTTTCCTGCACTTCCCATGACTGACAGAAGGTGCAGGGAGGGGTTCGGTCCTGTGTATTTGGTGAGTGGTGTCCTTTGAGTCCCTGACTCCTGGCAGGTCCTTGGCCCTCCCTCTGCTGACCTGAATGCAGCCCCCTCAAACCAAAGCCTTCTTCTCCCTGAGACCAATGAGTCTGGTATCACACAGGGGGCCTCAGCTGCTAGTCCTGCTCATGCTTTCTGGGGTGACAACAGAGGCAGGGCAGATTTCTGTTGGGCTCCCATCTGTTTTTTGCCTGCTAGGAGAACCATCGAGGCTATCCTCAATCTTCCTTCAGTGTTGTCACCTAGACTCTTATAGATTCTTGGACCAGTGAGTCTGTTGCCCAGATGGGGGTCCTTGCTTTGTCCTGAGTCACTCTGAGAACAAGGTCCTCGCTTCCCTGAGATCCCAAGAGAGAAATTAGGAGCCACCACATCTGATGACCACTGGGTGGGGTGTCCAGGCATGACACTAGGGTCTGTCCCTACTTGTTCTTGAGTGGTGGATTCTAAGGCCTTCAGGGGGTTCTTCATCTTTCCCCTGATGGAGCCTGTCCTTCCTCAACCCACAACACGCTGATATGAGCAGACATCTCCCCTTACCACGAATACCTCATCTTCCTGAGTTTCCCCAACTTCCTGCCCATAGTACAGGTGAGATTGCCACTTAGGGCCACCCTTGATTGGGTTTCCCCAGAGATAATAACCAAAGTTAGCCAGACTTTGTGGGGTCCCTTCTTTCCAGGCCAGGAGTACCCCCAGTCATCACAAAGAGTACACACCTTGGGTCCTGCAGATGTTGTACACACCTTGGGTCCTGCAGATGTTGTGATCCTGTCCCTCTGTTGAACAGGTGTGGCTCCCTCTGCTGAGCTGAGGACGCCCTTCAGACCGAGGTTGCCACCTCCCTGAGACCCGGGAGGCAGAAGTAATGGGGGCACTACACGGACACCCCTGCATGGGATTCCCAAGGCTGACAGAAGTAGTAGGTTTCATGGGGTCTTTCTCTGTCTGGGTGTCATCCAGTTATTCATATTTACTCCATGACAAGGCATGGCCCTTTCCTTCCTGCTGAACCATGGATGTGTCTTGCATGCCAAGGCCACCATCTCCTTGAGGCCACCGATCAGAAAGTTGGGGGGCCACTTCCCTTCCCCACAGTCCTGCCTGGAGTGCCCAGACCTGAGAGCAGGAGCAGGTTTCTTAGGTCAGTGACGGGAGGTCTGCTGAGTCCTCCTTAAGGGCTCTGGGGCACCTCTCTCCAGTGACCTGAGACTTCACTCCTCAAACCACAGCCCTCTCCTTTCTGACACCCTGAAAACGCAACAAGGATGCGCCACATGCAGCCACAGATCATGGGACCTCCCAAGGCTGAGTTCTCCACTGATTTGGAGTCCAAGATCCCCTGAGTCCTCCCTCTTCTTCTTCTCCTTGACTCCTGGCAGGGCTGGGCACCACCCCCCTGCTGACTTGAGTCTCAGTCCCTCAGATTCCTGAGGCCAAATGTGGAGGCGCCTCAGTCTCAGACAGAAGTGGAGTAGGCCTCCTGTCCTGGGGTCCTGGGTCCCCTCAGGCCTCCCTCATCTCCCAGCATGGCCTGGGACCTCCCTCTGCTCCTCTGAGGCCGTGCTTATGAAGCCCCTTCGCTGCATCATCCCCGGATGGGGACGTCAGAATCAGCTAGCCCGGCCGCCATGCCCGGCCACCATGCCTGGCCGCCATGCCAGGCCGCCATGCCCAGGGCTGACAGTAGGGGCAGCGATGTGCTCTGTGGGGCCTCAGCCCTCCCTCAGGGTCCTGCCCTTGATGCCTGGCAGAACCTGGGCCCTGCCCTCTGCTAACCAGCCCTGCTCTGGTCACACCAAGCTCTCACTCCAGATTCCCCTGTGGCTTAAGCGCAGGGCTGGCTAGGGGTGGCCCAGCCAGACAAGTCTGCCCCCTAGTGGTCCAGGGCTGGCAGCAGGGGAGGCGCTAGATTATTTCGGGTTCTACATGAGGGGTGGGGGCCTCCTCAGTCCTCCCTCAGGGTCTCACCTTGCCTCCTCACAGAGTCTGGGCCCGCTTCCCTCAGTCGATCTCAAGCTGACCCCTTAGAACCAGGCTTCTCTCTGATCTCTGCGGCCACGTCAGTGGCGTCACATCCGTCCACCCAGGGCTCACCTGGGTGGACAGTAGGGGCGGAACCGGATTCCAGTGGGGCGGGGGATGAGGGAGGAGCGGCTCAGTTATCCCTCAAGGTTCTCATCTTGATATCTGGCGGATCCTGGAGCCCCGTACTCTGCTGATAGTGTCTGCCTCCCTCAGACCAAGGTTCTGATTCCAAGTCCCCTGAGGTGGCAGTGGGGGGAAGGGTGTGGAGGGGGGACAAGGCTGCTGGGGTCTTTCAGGGCTGACATGAGGGTCTGAGCTGAATTCTGTGGCCCCTCTATGTGGTGTGGGTGAGCACTCAGTCCTCACTCAGGAGGGTCCTCTTCCTAACTCTTGGCTCTTTTAGGAGATGCTCTGTTTCTGTCACCTCTGAGCATTTGCACAGCTGCACCCCTTGCAGAGAATGGCTGCGGGTCCCAGGCCAGATTCTCCCTGTGGGGTTGCAGCACCTATGATTGTAGTGACCTCTGGGAGAAGAGGCACACCTTCCCACTGGGGCTCTTCCCCAGCTAGAAGAGGATTTTGCAAACCTTTTGTACTAAATGATTTATTTTCACACTGAAGAAGCTGAGTAGCTGCAAGAAATTTGAGATCCTAAGTTTTGAAGTTATCTAACAATTCCTAGTTCACTTTCGTGATTTTCATATTTTAATTCTCATTCATATAGTAAGAAACAAATGTTAAATCTATGCCAATTGTATATGTGCATTATATTTATGTTTATATGCATAAACACGTATGTGTATGTATATGTTCATATTATGTAAGTATAATTATATGTATGTATATGTATATATCTTTACAAATATTTATACATATATGTATGCCGACTATACATACTTATTTTATCAAACAATATTTACTCATATAATGTGTGATTCACTCATACTATTCTATTTCTAGTTCATTATATGTATTTGATTAAAATAATAATATTTTGGAAAGTCAGTCCTAACCTACTCTTTGTTTCTAGTTGTTATTAGCAGAACTCTGGAGCCATAGTCTCTCAATCAATCAAATTTTCCTGGTGTCCTGATAGTACCCCTGGGCTACTGGCCTCGTGTTTTGAGGTGCAGACTCAGATTGTGCATTGATGTGGTATGGTCCTTTAAAACTTTTCCTGCAACTCACCCTGTCATCTGCAGTGGTTGCAGACCTCCTCAACCTCCCTGCCTCTCCACCTGCCCAGAACACAAGTACCAGTTCAACACAGTCTTCAATCTTCCCCAGGGTTTTCTCTGTTTCGTTGTTTAGACTTTGTTGCTGATATTGTTGTTTTATTTTTCTTTTTCCCTTCTTTATTTTTCCACAGTCGATTTTGGAAGTAGAACACGGCAGCCTGGGCTTGATTGTCAGTTTGGCAGCTACAGGTAGGCATTCACTCTTTATTTAATTTAAGTAAGATTTACCCCTTTTCCATATTCTGTTCCTCATCAGTGAACATCATATACTACTCCATTTATTTGGGAATTTTTTCTCTGAATCTGTCAGCAGACTTGTACAGTTGCTTCTGTAAATGTCTTGCATGTTTTGGTTAGGCTTCTTCTTCTTTATATTTTGGATTTAAATGCTGTTAGGGATCGTATATTTTTAATTTAATGTTCTAAGTTGCTTATGTGTGGCAAGTCTCTTGTATTCGCTGTGATGGTCTTCGTATGTTGTCTTCTGAAGTCTCTTATTCATTTAAATATTCCATGTGTCTCTTCCTTTGAATTTTCTTGATAGTCAAATTGTGAAAAATACTATCTATTTCTTTTCAATCTTCATACCTCTTTTTCATCTTGATATTCGTAGCTCTGACTCTTTTTCATTTCGATTTTCAGTGCAGCTATGAATGGTAGCAGTGAAAGCATACATCCTGACAAGAATGGGAATGCTTCTAACATTTCACGTTCAAGTATGTTTCCTGTCAGTTTTAGAAAATTAAAGTGCCTTTTAATCTTCGTTTGCTAAAAATGTTAATTTGAAAATATAATAAAATTCATTTCAGAGGCTTTTTCTGTGTTTTTATTCCTTGCATATGAGCTGCTTGTTCATTAGTCCACTGTTGTGTTGAATATACAATTATCTATTTAGGACATTTGCTGCAATATGTGTGAACACTTGGCTCACATGTTCATTTTATAAAGGGGATGTCTTTATCTGTTTTTTCTTTTTTTCTTTGTTTTTCCAATGCAGGAGAGGGAGCCTTGGAGAATTCGTTGAATAATTGCCCGTGTTTTGGGATTATTTGGAAGTGTTAAAATGGTGATTCGTTTTCCCTGACCACTTGGTGAAACTGACCCACAAAACTGCCTGCCTTAGAACGGTAGAGGGTGGATTGAGCTTTAAATACATTTTCAGTTTGTGGATGTACCATTGGTTTTATCCATTCACCAATTGGAAAAAGTCTTGATTGTCAATTATAAATAAGCTGCTATATATGTTTTTGTGTACATGATTTTGTGTGTATGAACCTGTTTCGAATTCTCCTTGATAAAACCTAGGAGTACAATTACTGTGTGTAATGGTAAGTCTAAGTTTTGCTATATTAGAAATAGCCAAAAGCCCTTCTAGAGTGAATGTGTTCTTTTTCTTCTCTACCAGCAATGAAAGATAACTCCACATCTTTTGTACAATTTGGTATTTTCAGGTTGTCGCATTGTATCAATTGTAACAGGTGGGTAGAAGAATGTTATTGCTGCTTACATTTGCATTTTTATTGAATAATTCTGGTAATCATCTTTTCATATGCTTTTTTTGTGATCTGTGTATCTTCACTGGTGAAGTCTTCAAATCATTTACTATTTTATTGGACTCTTCATTTTTATATGATTGCGTGTTATAAGGTGTTTATTTATTCAGTATACAAATCCTTTATCCGACACAGGGTTTACAAGTATTTTCTCCTCATTTTTGGCTTTTTTCCCCATCTTTTAACTGTTTTTTTTTTTTTTAGTAACCATTTTAGAGTAATTTTAAATTTACAGAAAAGTTGTGAAGACAGTTAAGAGGGTTTTCCTATACATCATGTCCAGTTTCTCCTATTATTAACATCATACAATAATATGATACATTCTTCATAATTCACAAATCAATATTCACCTGCACATTCCTGTCATTGTTTCAGGATCCCATCTAGGATACCATGCTACTTTAGTCATTATGTCTCCTTAGAATCCTCTAAGCTGTGATAGTTTCTCAGACTATTCTTGTTTTTGACGACTTTAACAGTTTTGGGGAGTATTGATCAGGCTATTTGTGGAATTACCCTCATTTGGTATTTGTCTGAGTTTTTTTCATATATAGACTTGAGTAATTGTTTTGGGGTAGGAGACCAGACAGGTGAAATGACATTCTCATTACCTGATATTTTAGCACCATGACTCATCACTGTTGATGTTGACTGATCAACTGGCTGAGGTAGTGTTTGTCAGTATTTCCCTCTGCAAGGTTATTACATTCCCCCCTTTCTGTATTGTGCTTTATAAAAGGAAGTCACTAAGGGCAGCCCATTGGGTAGTAGGGAAGTATGGTCCACCTTCTTGGGAAGGGATAGTATTGACATGAATGATTTGGGATTCTTCTCAATGGGAGATTTGTCTATTCTCCCCCATTGTTTGTATTTATTTAACCTTCGATTTATCTCAGATGAACTCATGGCAATTTATTATATGTTTGGGGTTATAATTCAGCACCACTTTTATTTTGCTGCTCAGATTGTTCCATCTTTGTCCATTGGAGGCTCTTTCGGTTGGCTCTGACGTCCCTTTCAAGCAACTGAGTCATTACACTTGTTTGTAGCTCTGTCTTACCTTATGGTATGACAAGATGATGCAGGCTCGTTTTTATATTTCCTGTTCCAGTCATAGAAGAGTCCATTTTCCATGGTTTTCTGCTTCCTTTTATGGGAGAAGAGTACTGGAATGTGAGAGGTAAGTGTTAGGCATGCTCATTGTTCCTGAGGATTTGTTATTCCTAGCCACTTCAATTCTCAGATTAAGGATATATATTTTTGTATATTAACCTGTGTATATACACATATCTATAAGCAGAATTCTCAAACCCAATCCCTGTGGGAAATAACTTTAGAAGTCAGACAGTACTGCTTCAGTACAGTTTCTTTTAACTTCAGTCTCAGAGACTGACTTCCACAGGTACTTAGGACAGCACCATATCCCCAGATACTCATTAGAGGTTGTTTCATAGATTTGTAACACAGTTATATTGTTTTGTCATGTTCTATACTCCACCTCGGCATTCCTCAACCTCCTAATTTTTTCAATTTTGCATACATTGAGATTTATTCTTTGTGCTTTAAAGTTTTATGCTTTTTGACAAACGCATAACATATTCCATTTTTTAACAGCATGTCATCAACCATGACATGATACAATCAATCATTAAAGTAGCCTAGAGAATAGTTTCACCAGTCTAATAAATTCCTTCTGCTTATCCTAGTCATACCTTTTCCCCACCCCTGATCCCTGGCCACAACAGGTATTTTTACTGTCATTATAGTCTTGTCTTTGGAGAACGTCAAATAAATTGGATCATATACTATGTAACCTTTTCAGACTGGCTTCTTTTACTTAGAGCCAAGCATTTAAGATTGATTCATGTTTTTGTGTGCCTTCATAAGTAAATCTTTTGGTTGATGAATAGTGTTCCGTTGTTGTTGGACCACAGTTTGTTTATTCATTTGTCTCTTGAAGAACATCTTCGTTGCTTCCAGTTTTGGCCAATTATTAAATAAGCTGCCACACCCATTCATATGCAAGTTTTTTTTGTGGGCATAAGTTTGCAAATTAGTTCAATGTATACCTAGGAGTATCAAGAATTTGTTCAGCTTTGTAAAAAAAAATCAACTGACAAACCATCTTTGAAAGTGGCTGTACTACTTTGCATTCCCAACAGCAACAAATGAGAGTGCCTGTTGTTCCTTGTTGCCAGAAATTGGTATTGTCAGTATTTGGATTTTGGACATTGTAGTAAGTGTGTATCTTTGTTATTTAATTCATAATTCTCTAATAAAGAATGACATTGACTATGTTGTCTTATGCTTATTTTTTATGTGTACATGTTTTTTGTTGATTTGTCTGTTCAGAGTTTTTGCACATCTATTAATAGAGGTTTCTTAAGTTTGTTTTCTTATTTACTTTTAAGCATTCTCTGTATATTCTGAATAGTTCTCATTGTTTAGTTTTATACTTTCTCTGTAGATTTTGGATACAAGTCCTCTATGAGATGTACGTTTTGCAAATATTTTCTTAATGTCTGTAGCTTATCTTTCCTTTTTCTTATCAGTGTCTTTTACAGAGCAGTAGTTTTGTTTTTAATTTTCAGAATGTCCACCTTTTCAATTTTGTCTTCTATGGGCATGCTTTTGATGTTGTATGTAAAAACCCCTCACCAATATCAAGGCCATGTAGATCTCCACTTATGTTTTCTTCCAGAAATTCTATAATTTTATATTTTATATTTGAGTCGGTGAAGTATTTTGAGATAATTCTTTGTGAAAGTTGTAAGGCTCTTTCTAGGTTCATTTCTTTGCATATTGATATGCATTTGTTCAGGTACCTTTTGTTGGAAAGACTGTCATTTCTCCATAGAATTGAATTTGCACCTTTGTCAAAAATCAGTAGACTATATTTGTGTGTCTTTTTTTGGGCTCTACTTAGTTCCATTGATGTGTGTCTGTTCTTTTGCCAATAGCATACTTTCTTGATTACTGTAGGTTGACAGAATAACTGCGTATCAAAGCTAACATCAACCATGAGAAACCATTCATATGTCTAGTAATTTCCTTTTATATGATATAATGGGAATGACATTTTACCTCTGAGATCTTCCTCTAAATGTTCTTATCTCCATTCTTTTTTTAAAAAAAATGTTTTTTTATTTTCAGTTCAAGGGTACATGCGCAGGTTTGTTATGTAGGTAAACTTGTGTCATGGGGCTTTGTTTTGCAGATTATTTCATCACCCAGGTATTAAGCCTAGTGCCCATTCGTTATTTTTCCTGATCCTTTTCCTCCTCCCACCCTCCACCATCTGAGAGGTGCCAGTGTGCCTTGTTCCCCTCTATGTGTTCATGTGTTCTCATCATTTAGCTCCCACTTATAAGTGAGAACATGTGGTATTCGTTTTTCTGTTCCTTTATGAGTTTGCTTAGGATAATGGCCTCCAGCTCCATCCATGTTCCTGAAAAGGACAGGATCTCATTATTTTTTATGGCTGCATAGTATTCCATAGTGTATTTGTACCATATTATCTTTATTCAGTCCATCATTGATGAGCATTTAGGTTGATTTCATGTCTTTGCTATTGTCCATAATGCTACAATGAACATACATGTGCTTGTGTCTTTATAATACAATGATTTATATTCCTTTGGGTATATACCCATAATTGGATTCCTGGGTCAAAATGTATTTCTGTTTTTAGGTCTTTGAGGAACTGCCATACTATCTTCCACAATGGTTGAACTAATTTACACTCTCATCAGCAGTTTATAAGCATTCCGTTTTCTTTGTAACATCCTCAGCATCTGTTATTTTTTGATTTTTTAATTATAGCCATTCTGACTGGTGTGAGATGGTATCTCATTGTGGTTTTGATTTGCATTTCTCTAATGATCAGTGATGTTGAGTTTTTTTTATGTGCTTATTGGCTGTATGTATGTTTTCTGTCTTCTTTTGAAAAGTTTCTGTTCATGTCCTTTGCCCACTTTTTAATGGGGTTGTTTATTTTATTTTTGTAAATTTGTTTAAGTTCCTTATAGATGCTGGATATTAGATCTTTGTAAGATGCATAGTTTGCAAAAATTTCCTCCCATTTTGTAGGTCGTCTGTTCACTTTGTTGATAGTTTCCTTTGCTGTGCGGAAGCGTTTTGGTTTAATTGGATCCCATTTGTCAATTTTTGCTTTTGTTGCAATTGCTTTTAGCATGTTTGTCATGAAATCTTTGTCCATTGCTATGTCCTGAGTGGTATTGTTTAGGTTATTTTCCAGGG